CCCACAATGAGCTTTCCTTAGGACGTGCCATTTCTGTGTCTGTAGCTTTAAATGCTAATGAGGAGGAGAGAGGCGGGGCAACTGCCATGCTTCGCTTGTTTGCAAGCCATGATGTCTCGAGGAAAAAAAAATATTGCGCTCGCCTCGCACGGTAGTAGCTAATTTTCTCATGGGTGGGCCAAATTCTCTGGGCGGGCAAAGCAGAGAAAGGGGAGGTAACCTTTCCCCATATGACGACATAAAGGGAAGATTCCAGATTGGGCCATCTGAGCTTTCATTTTCTCAAAGGCGAAGCAGGATACCCAGGGCGCGGTTTACACCTATCGCCATTTCTAGCCACTGGGGGACCGTAGGCAGGCTAGGGGAACTCATATTAATGTTAAAAAACCTCATAAAGTGACATTTTCATGCCATAGGACCTTTAAGCAATTTTTCTTTTTTTCTTAAAAGTTTTGGACCCATTATGTAATAAAAAAAAAAACGTTTTTTAAAAAATACCTTAAAGTAACTGCAAATGAGCATGTAAAGTAAATACCTTTAAAAGAAATTCCGTGCGGAGCATGCCCCCAATCTGTGCAATGTTCTCACCTTTTTTCCCCCTTACCTGTTTGCATCTCTGATTTATTTTTTCATACTTATCAGTAGTTGGTTTATTTGTACTTAATTTCTTTTATTATTTCAGGTTATGCTTTCAAAACTGTGTATTTAAATGTGTTCCAGTGTTTTGCCTCATAGAAATCTATTGTAAGTGCATCAGTGTAAACCGAGAGCAGTCTGAATGATTAAAAAGTTTTGGACCCATTATGTAATTAAAAAAAAAAACGTTTTTTTAAAAAATACCTTAAAGTAACTGCAAATGAGCATGTAAAATAAATACCTTTAAAAGAAATTCCGTGCGGAGCATGCCCCCAATCTGTGCAATGTTCTCACCTTTTTTCCCCCTTACCTGTTTGCATCTCTGATTTATTTTTTCATACTTATCAGTAGTTGGTTTATTTGTACTTAATTTCTTTTATTATTTCAGGTTATGCTTTCAAAACTGTGTGTATTTAAATGTGTTCCAGTGTTTTGCCTCATAGAAGTCTATTGTAAGTGCATCAGTGTAAACCGAGAGCAGTCTGAATGATTTTCTGTGGTAATTGGCAGCAGGCTGCAGATGCGTTTTATAGAGGAAAATTCGTTTTATGGGGAAGTCGTGGCCTAATGGTTAGCGAGTCGGACTCGTAACCCAAAGGTTGCGGGTTCGAGTCTCGTACCAGCAGGGATTGTAGGTGGGGGGAGTGAATGTACAGCACTCTCTTCCACCTTCAATACCACGACTGAGGTGCCCTTGAGCAAGGCATAACTGCTAACCAAACCCCTAACTGCTCCCCGGGCGCCGCAGCATAAATGGCTGCCCACTGATCCGGGTGAGCACTAATTCCTAGTATGGGTCACCATACTTGGCCACGTGTCACGTCACTTGTCACTTAAAAGCTTAAGTTGCACTGACACTGGAACTTTCCTTTAATCTTTTCAGGCCTGTTTTTTCCTCTCAGTGAAACTTTGATGTGCTGATAATGAGCTGATTTGTGTCCGTCTCTCCACAGATGCAGTGCAAGTTGTTTGTGTTCGATAAGCCAGCTCAGTCGTGGGTGGAACGAGGCCGCGGTCTGCTCAGACTTAACGACATGGCATCCACCGACGACGGCACCTTACAGTCAAGATTAGGTAAGAGTACCAGCAGGGATTGTAGGTGGGGGGAGTGAATGTACAGCACTCTCTTCCACCTTCAATACCACGACTGAGGTGCCCTTGAGCAAGGCATAACTGCTAACCAAACCCCTAACTGCTCCCCGGGCGCCGCAGCATAAATGGCTGCCCACTGATCCGGGTGTGTGTGTTCACTGCTGTGTGTGTGTGCACTTAGGATGGGTTAAATGCAGAGCACTAATTCTTAGTATGGGTCACCATACTTGGCCACGTGTCACGTCACTTGTCACTTGTGTCACGTCACTTGTCACTTGTCACTTAAGAGCTTAAGTTGCACTGACACTGGAACATTCCTTTAATCTTTTCAGGCCTGTTTTTTCCTCTCAGTGAAACTTTGATGTGCTGATAATGAGCTGATTTGTGTCCGTCTCTCCACAGATGCAGTGCAAGTTGTTTGTGTTCGATAAGCCAGCTCAGTCGTGGGTGGAACGAGGCCGCGGTCTGCTCAGACTTAACGACATGGCATCCACCGACGACGGCACCTTACAGTCAAGATTAGGTAAGAGCAGCGCCGAATATCAGGCCTCTTTAGAGCAGCCGAAATGTGATGTTGTTCCTCATGTGTCTGCGTCTGTCTGTTAGTGATGCGCACGCAGGGCAGTCTGCGGTTGATCCTCAACACGAAGCTCTGGCCTCAGATGCAGGTGGATAAAGCCAGTGAGAAGAGCGTTCGTATCACAGCCATGGACACTGAGGACCAGGGCGTCAAGGTCTTCCTCATATCGGTAGGATGAACACCTCTGTAACACTTTACACAGGAAGTGCATTGGATTTAAGTTGTATTTCTGTTAAATAATGCAAAAGTTTTACACAGTCACACACACACAGAGAGATAAAAAAACAACTCTGGTATCGGGTTTTACTGCTCACAGGAAATTTTAAAATTTTACCATAATAAAAATGTGTGTGTGTGTGTGTATTATATAAAATAAAATGTATATTTTATATATATATATATATATATATATATATATATATAAA